GGGGTCCCACATCCCTTTGGAGATTCCCGCCTCCATTCGGGGGGGGTCCCCCCTTAATTTGGGGGGGTCCCACCTCCATTTTGGCGTGTGTCCCCCCCCAAACCTCCATTTTGGGGGGATCCCGCCTCAGTTTGGGGATTCCCGCTTCAATTTGGGGGGGTCCCACCTCCCTTTGGAGATTCCCAGCTCCATTCGGGGGGGGTCCCACCTCAATTTGGGGGGGTCCCACCTCAATTTGGGGGGGTCCTCCCCTCATTTCCCCCCCTCCCACCTCCCCGTCCGCCATTTTAGGTGCCCACTCCCACATCCGCGGCCTAGGCCTGGACGACGCCCTGGAGCCCCGGCAGGTAATGGCGGCCGGAAAGGGGGGGGGGACACACCTTTAGGGGGTTCTCCTTTTAAATTTAAAGGGTGTAACCCCCCCAAATCTTAACATTCCCCCTCTTCTGACCCCCCCGCAGGTGTCCCAGGGGATGGTGGGCCAATTAGCAGCTCGTCGAGCCGCCGGTGTCATCTTAGAAATGATTAAAGAAGGCAAAATTGCTGGGCGGGCCGTCCTCATCGCCGGCCAACCCGGCACTGGCAAAACCGCCATCGCCATGGGTCTGGAAACGTGTCCCCCCCCCCTTTTGTCACCCCTTTAATGGCTTTGTCACCCCCTAATTGTCCCTAAATATTTGTGTGGCCCCCCCTTTTTTCAGGAATGGCCCAGGCTTTGGGGCCCGACACCCCCTTCACGGCCATCGCCGGCAGCGAGATCTTCTCCCTGGAGATGAGTCGCACCGAGGCCCTCACCCAGGCCTTCCGCCGCTCCATCGGCGTCCGCATCAAGTCAGAGCCCCTCCCTTATCGTTTTTTGGGGTGTCCCCCCCCTTTTTTTGGGGTGTCCCCCCCTCCTCTAGTAGGTTTTGGGGGCGTTTTATTAAAGGGGGGTGTTCTTTGCAGGGAGGAGACGGAGATCATCGAAGGGGAGGTGGTGGAGGTGCAGATCGATCGGCCGGCCACCGGCACCGTAAGGAAAAAGGGGGGGGACACCCCTAAAATTACCCTCCCCAGTACCCCAAAAATCCCCCCCAGCGCCTCCAAATCCCCCCAGCACCCCCAAATCTCTCCTGAGCATCTCAAAATCTCTCAGGACACCCCAAAAATCCCTCAGGAAGCCCCAAAATCCTTTCCAGCGCCCTCAAAAATCCATCAAATCCAGCAGATGGTGAGGGGGGCACCCTAAAAATCCACCCCCCCAGCACCCCAAAATCTCTTGGGACACCCCAAAATCTCTCCCAGCACCCAAAAGACTCCATCAAATTGTTCAAATGGTGGGAGGGCACCTCATCCCCTCATTTCCCCCCCTCCCACCTCCCCGTCCGCCATTTTAGGTGCCCACTCCCACATCCGCGGCCTAGGCCTGGACGACGCCCTGGAGCCCCGGCAGGTAATGGCGGCCGGAAAGGGGGGGGGGACACACCTTTAGGGGGTTCTCCTTTTAAATTTAAAGGGTGTAACCCCCCCAAATCTTAACATTCCCCCTCTTCTGACCCCCCCGCAGGTGTCCCAGGGGATGGTGGGCCAATTAGCAGCTCGTCGAGCCGCCGGTGTCATCTTAGAAATGATTAAAGAAGGCAAAATTGCTGGGCGGGCCGTCCTCATCGCCGGCCAACCCGGCACTGGCAAAACCGCCATCGCCATGGGTCTGGAAACGTGTCCCCCCCCCCTTTTGTCACCCCTTTAATGGCTTTGTCACCCCCTAATTGTCCCTAAATATTTGTGTGGCCCCCCCTTTTTTCAGGAATGGCCCAGGCTTTGGGGCCCGACACCCCCTTCACGGCCATCGCCGGCAGCGAGATCTTCTCCCTGGAGATGAGTCGCACCGAGGCCCTCACCCAGGCCTTCCGCCGCTCCATCGGCGTCCGCATCAAGTCAGAGCCCCTCCCTTATCGTTTTTTGGGGTGTCCCCCCCCTTTTTTTGGGGTGTCCCCCCCTCCTCTAGTAGGTTTTGGGGGCGTTTTATTAAAGGGGGGTGTTCTTTGCAGGGAGGAGACGGAGATCATCGAAGGGGAGGTGGTGGAGGTGCAGATCGATCGGCCGGCCACCGGCACCGTAAGGAAAAAGGGGGGGGACACCCCTAAAATTACCCTCCCCAGTACCCCAAAAATCCCCCCCAGCGCCTCCAAATCCCCCCAGCACCCCCAAATCTCTCCTGAGCATCTCAAAATCTCTCAGGACACCCCAAAAATCCCTCAGGAAGCCCCAAAATCCTTTCCAGCGCCCTCAAAAATCCATCAAATCCAGCAGATGGTGAGGGGGGCACCCTAAAAATCCACCCCCCCAGCACCCCAAAATCTCTTGGGACACCCCAAAATCTCTCCCAGCACCCAAAAGACTCCATCAAATTGTTCAAATGGTGGGAGGGCACCTCAAAAATCCCTTGGGACACCCCAAAAATCCATCAGGAAGCCCCAAAATCCTTTTTGGTGCCCCCAAAAATCCATCAAATCCAGTAGATGGTGAGGGGGGCACCCTAAAAATCCCCCCCCCCAGCACCCCAAAATCTCTTGGGACACCCCAAAATCTCTCCCAGCACCCAAAAGACTCCATCAAATTGTTCAAATGGTGGGAGGGCACCTCAAAAATCCCTTGGGACACCCCAAAAATCCATCAGGAAGCCCCAAAATCCTTTTTGGTGCCCCCAAAAATCCATCAAATCCAGTAGATGGTGAGGGGGGCACCCTAAAAATCCCCCCCCCCGCACCCCC